GATGCCCCCATATGGCAACTTATAGCAAAGGTTGAACTTTCTCAACTGCAAATCAAATATGTTGGTACCCACAGTAAGGTTTTGTCTCAAGAAATATACCTGTGAAATATGAAAGCCCGAGCAGCAACCATTGAAGAGATATGGAAAAGGTTAAAGTTTTTCAAAAGTAAGTCAAACATCAAGGTCAAGGTCAAATGGTCAAAATTAATGGAACCCAAGGAAAGGCTTTCTCCCAAGAAATACACATGTGAAATATGAAAGCCGTAGCACCAATCATTCAAAAGTTATGGCCAAGGTTAACAGTCAGGGGTGAGACTGAAATCCGTCATTTTTAAAATGACGATTTTTAGTCATAAAATAAAATTTTTATTATGACTTAAACTCGTCATTTTTAAGAAAACAACGAAAAACAGTCATAAAAATTCAGAGTATTTCTAGAATACCGAGTTACCTCTCTTTGAAAAATGTTAGATCCACCAACCGAAAAAAGGACAAAAAACATTGTAAACAAACTTCATTTCTCTAATACAGTTGACTACAATACTGGTTATGTTGACAGTACAAATTTCCCAAGCAAAAATAAGAGTGGAAGAGTTATTTGTCAATTTATTTGCATTAAATAGGAAAGAAGACGAAAATGACGATATTCTGTCTTTTTTCAAAATGGAGGGTCTGGGCGCACTGAAATATCTTGCTTATTTTAAGGGGCGCACTACTTTTTTATGGCTTTAACTTTTTGTCGAGACTTTTCTCTACAAGTATGTATTCTTCCAGACGGTGTACTATATGTTTTTATAGGGCTAAAAGCCATGTAAAAATGGCGAATTAGTTCTACCAAAATTCGACATTTTACCGCTAAATAATAACTCTCACCTTCCATGTTGATGTTCTAACGCACGTGGTCGGCAGTAATTAGTGACCCAGATGAAATGAAACTTGTGTAAACACTCTTCTTTCAGCGGTGAATTCAAATTTTGCTTTTATGTAACCAGGATAGAAGAATTAAGTCGAAAAACAAAATATGATGATAGTAAGTCATCTTGACAAAAATGACGAAAATACATAGTTAGTTAATATGACGATTATCCATCATTTTTCAGAAATGACGGATTTCAGTCTCACCCCTGACTGGTTAATGTTTTTCGAAAGTAGGTCAAACTCCAAGGTCAATGTATTACAATTGTTGGTATTTAAAGAAAGGTCTTGTCACAAGGAACAGACATGATGAATATGAAAGCCTTAGCACCAACTGTTTAAAAGTTATGGCCTAGGTTAAAGTTTTCCAAAAGTAGGTCATACTCCAAGGTCAAGGTCAAAGGGTTTAAGTTGTTGGTTTCAAAGGAAAGACTTGTCACAAGAATTGCATATGTGAAGTAAGAAAGCATTAACACCAACTGTTCAAAAGTTATGGCCAAGGTTAAAGTTTTTCAAAATTAGGTCAAACTCCTAGGTCAAGGTCAAAGGGTCTAAGTTTTGGTATCCAAGGAAGGTCTTGTCACAAGGATTGCACAGGTGAAGTATGAAAGCACTAGCACCAACAGTTCAAAAGTTATGGCCAATGTTAAAGTTTTTTTAAAAGTAGGTCAAATTTCTAGGTCAATATCAAGGGTCAAAAATGTTGCTATATAAAGGAATGTCTTGTTACAAGGATTACACATGTGAAATATGAAAGCCCTAGTACCAATTGTTCAAAAGTTCTGGCCAAGGTTAAGGTTCTGCAAAATTTTGAAAAACTGGGTCAAACTCCAAGGTCAAGGTCAGAAGGTCAAATATGATGGTACCCAAAGAAAGGTCTTGTCACAAGGAATACACCATCCTCACAAGCCAGGGGTCCTGAGTCAACATGTTGCCATTGGACCCCTGACATATTTCATTCAATATTTGTGGGCTGACTGTAGCGACGTCTTTCGGAAAAATTACAAATCTTGATTGTTTTTCTTATCTCTCAACCAATCACATTAAGCCATTCTATGATAAACAACTTGTAACACATGCATTTGAGGTGTCAACTGAATCCTTATCTAACTTTTTATGAAAGCTTTAATTTGATTGGTGCTTCTCAATGAGAGAAGCAAGCCCACAAATATTGAATGAAATATGCCAGGGGTCCAACGGCAACGTGTTGACTCAGGACCCCTGGCTTGCGAGGATGGGAATACACATGTGAAATATGAAAACCTTAGTTCTAACCAATCAAAAGTTAAGGGGAATGTTAAAGTTTTTGTGGACAAAGACAAAAAAGACAGACAGAGAGACAGACAGGGCAAAACTATATACCCCCCAATCTTTGATATGGCGGCATAAAAATTCATAAAAAATGTTGGTTCAAAAGATCTGGTTGGAAGAGTTATCTTTCTTATATATGGTATATATGGTAGGGCCCTGGAAATTATACTATTTATAGACATCTTCATCTAGTTACACTAGTACTTTTATGTGATAAATTTTCATTTCTGATCCTAAAATATTGTCAACTTAAAGTGTAAATATTCATTTCAATATATAATTCCTAGATGACATTGATTACAACTCTGTGGTATTCAGATGACTTCAATAATTCATGTTAATATATATATATATTTCCATTTCTATTTGTTTTCTCTGTGATAACCCTTTGATAGTTAGGGGAGTTGATTTCTTGATCATTCCACTGGAATGCAAATTTCGCCAAGCGAAAGGTCAGGAGATAAGAAGGCCTATAATATGCATGTAATTCTCGTACGGCTGTCTTTGTGTCTGACTCTAAGGAAATCTAATATGCATGTAATTCTCGTGCGGCTGTCTTTGTGTTTGACGTCAGTGGGCAGGGACTATTGAAATTGACATGTGAAGCCTCGTGTAATTTAAATCTATTAGTCTACATTTTTAAAATCTAAATTTACAATTTTATTTCACAATGAAATGGAAATATAAGGAATCACTGTCTAGTTAGTAGAGTATGCCAGGGACATCAACGATGGTTGGAAACGTGGGATAATTTATGCATAACGGGCTTCACCCGTTATGCAAATTATCCCACGTTTCCAACCATCGTTGATGCCCTGGCATACTCTACTAACTAGACAGTGATTCCTTAAATGAAATACGCAGTACAGTTAAGGTGCCAAATGGAAATATCGGTGAATTTTTTAGATAGAAAATACATTCTTTACAAGGATGGGCGTTTCTTTTTAGGACTTTACTATTATCGGACAAATGCAATGTGGTTGAAAACTACATGTTGAGGACATTTAGATTTCTTATTTAGACTTGTCACGTGATGTGGCAGTCACGTGATTTTAGCAAATATACCTGAAGTATTGAGGTCATCTATGAATTCTAATATTGCAAGGGCATAACCAAGTTAAAAATCTAAGTTTAACATATAATTATTTTCAACACTCTTTGTAGTTTGTGAAAAGTGCTGCGAACCTATATAGATTCTACTATCTAATTGCTAAAATTACATCTGTTAGACCGTATGTTGAATATTTTGCTGGTCAAGTACATTAAATATAGATATAATTAATTCATTTGCAGGATTTCAACATGTTCGCAGCACTTTTCAAATATCTTCATACTTCTTGAGTTTATGTGTAAAAGCTTGTCATAATTCATTGAGGGTATGCCCTTGCAATATATCGATTTATTATGACCCTTCTATTACCCTTCAATGAATCTGCATACAAATATACGACAGAATCGCTTGTCTAGGGAATGTACGGGAAGTGTATGAATAAAATCATAAAATAGACATCGGATCCAAGTTAATGGCCTCTTATATATCTACAATTTATATTTTATTTAAATACAAAATACATTTTTCATTGTATAAATATAACTTGATCCGCCTCTCACTGCATACAAACTGCGTCAAATTTTACGATATGACATCACATTGACAAGTGCATTGCGATCAGTGAATTGTTTATACATTGCTGTGTGGGATTTAACCAAAGACAATAATGCATGCACTAGTTAGTATTGATGTAGTTTAAAGCTATTCAACACTTGAAAATAGCAAATCATTTCATTTTGTGGAAATTTGAAGAACTTATATTTTTGTGTGATGTCATAGTAAGCATTTCCCGTATAAATTAGGCCCCGCCTCCTTACTGCAGCCTTAGCTGTGCTGCATAGATGAAGATGTCTATAAATAGTATAAATGAATAGGAATGATCATGTCCAGTATCAGTTCTTGGTGTGACGGTGTTTTTGGATTTGCCTAAAGAAAGTGAAGTTAAAACTGACAAGTATACATATACAATAAATATATTAAAACATTTATCTCCCCGATGATTATAACAGTAAACTGAATAGAATAGATTGAGCATATCGTAAATGTATAAAGAAATAATAATCTTACCTTCATTATACTTTCATGCTTGTACAAATGGCCATGTTGAATGGCTCAAACTGAGACAATCCAGGATCACAATCGACATACATACTTGCCAACCTCCAACATGTAAAAATCTGGCCACGATCAGATTTGGAAAGTAAAAAATCTGGTCATAACGCGTAACGACATTCACGACATATCTACCACGATTAAAGTATATAATGTGTAACATATTTTATCTCCTATCACAGAACACTGAACACACAGAACGGTTACTAACCAGTTATTTACATACTAGTTATTTCAGCACTTTATTCTGCATCAATATTACCAGCTTTTAAAAGACGTATATATATTAAAAACTAGAGTTCTATTTTGTGGGTTCCTGCTGGATTTGCTACAAAAAAAATTCACGTTTTCACCAGAAGAACCAACTTTGATTAGGGAGGACTCAAAGGTACTTAATGGGAATGGACCTGACCCAAAAACCTTTTGTTGATGAGTTTAATCATTTAGGAATTGTAGTTCAGATGCACAATTCGAAACCTTTCTGTTAATGTGCATCATTACATGTACCTTCCATGCAAGTTGGGTACAAGTAAGGCTTATAGTTACTTGTTAATGGACCTGCTCTAAAAACTTAAACCAGGAACTCTGTCAAAGTGAGCAAAAATATTACCTTGTTTGTAGGATTGACATAGTTGTCATTTCTTTCTTTACATAACAGGCAGCATCTGCAATTAAGTTCATACTATAAATTGAAAACCTCAGAATTTTGACAAACCTTAATACATGTAATCAAAAACAAATACAGTATTTATTTCCAACCAGAAGTTTCTCATGAAAATGTAGTTTTACTGCTTTGCACTTAGTAAAAAATATATAGAGGGGTTAGGAGTGTAATGATACACTAGGGTGTATCATGATATTTTATTTTCACATGTTGTAATGAGTTTCATCATTGGATCGTTTGTCATCACATGTCAAAATATAGAAATTCAAATAGACTGGATCTTTCTTAATATAAACATAAAACAAGAGATGTTTGTGAAACACTTATGCCCCCCCCTCCCTTGGACATACATTATAGGGCTCACACGCCTTTATTATGGGCAGTATACATTATGGGCAGTGTACATGGAAATGAAATTGACCTTTTGAACTGAAAATCAATAGGGGTAATCTACCGGTACTATCTGAGATGCATCAACCAAAAATAGTCTTCTACATCACATCTTTGGCAAAAACACATTTCTCATGATAGATCAGTAATTTTAAATTTGTTCAACCATTGCAGAAATAATGTAGGGAAAGCAAGTAATTGGAATTTTTCTAAGTCCAAGGGGCATAACTCTGTCAAAAATTGCTCGATCATACCCAAAACATAACTTGACCTAGATATTCTTACCATAAATCTGTATACCAAATTTCATTTCAGTATGTGCAACCTCTGTGAAGAAAATAAACGGAAACTGTTGGTGGACCGACAGACAGACAGCAGCAAACATGGCAAAGCAATATGCCCTCCCTTCTTTGAAGGGGGGCATAAAAATTCGGATAGACCTGTACTTTCTAATAATAGATAAGGGAAGTTTTGTTACATGTAAAAATGAACCTGATTTGCAGGCATATGTCATTAAACCAATCAAAATTCTTTTCCAGTTATTGTGGTTAATCAGCCAATACTTGGATTGACCGGAACTTTCTAAAAATAGATTTTTTCCTTTACAGTTTGACAATCTTCCTTTAAAAAATAATGAAATAAATGTATCCATTGTCGAAAATAAAATATAGCAAATGTAACTCTTTCATTCAGAGAATCCATAGATATATATCAACTTCACAAAAAAGCATATGGTATCAGCCTCGCATGCTTGACCTCATGAAAGGGCTATATTTGCATATCATGATACACCAGGAATGTTTCATGATACGTATCATGATATTTCACCTTTTACATTTTACTATGTTATCATTACTGTTTATTATTTTTCAATACTACAGGGATTAATTCACATCTTTTATCCTAACAAATTACATGTATGATCATAGGTAGTTTCATTACATTTCAAAACAGCTACACAATTTGTATAAAAAAATTATGAAAAATTGTGATTCATCGCAAATGTTTTGTGATAAAAACTCAGCTAGTATATCACAATTTATCAAGCATGCTTTTAAACCATATTGTTACACCCCTAAAAGTTTCTCTATCAGAAGAAAGTCAACTTACATCTTGCATTATCTGCTGAGTTGTATTCTGATGGTGCACAGGTTAAACCGGAAGTTGAATCACAGTCTCTCTCATCAACATTTCCACTTCCATATGTATTGAAATATGCACATTTGCCTGTACAAATTCAAATAGGAAGCTTGAGACAAAAATACTTTTTCTTCTAGCTTTCATGTTTCTTGGAATTGATAAATGAAATTAGAAGGCATATATCTGATATGCCTATAGTTCTTTCAACAGCTACATGTACCTAGTAATAACTGAAATATCTTTAAATGCATGACAGTTAAGTTACATGCACATAGGTATTAAGAATGTATCACTTTTTCAAATGAGGGTCAACAAGTTCAGCATTTGGAATAACAAGAAGTCTCTGTCGAGACTGTAGCTCTACTGGTTTGTACTTATAACAATTAAGGAAGAGAAAAGTAGCACTCACTTAGACTTGAAACTTTGCAACGGCAATAAATAAATAGTAAGCCTTGTTTTTACTCTCTTTTTGTGGCAAGATGAATTGCAATCAGACTATAACTGTAGAAGGAGTAGCCATTTAAAAGAATTTTAGAGAAATTTCAATTTTAGTTACTATGGCAACATTATTCATCAAAATCAAAAAATCAATTAAGACAATTATGTATCTCAGTGTAGTCTACTTGCATGCCAAGTTATATTAAAATCAGACCAAACTGTAGGCAAAGTAATGATTTGAAAGTATATCAAAGAAATTCAATTTTTGGTAACCATGGCAACACTTCACCAAAATCAAAAAATTGATATACAGAATTATGTATTTCAGTGTAATCTACTTGTGTGCCAAGTTATATTGAAATCAGGCCAAAACTGTAGGAGGCGTAGCATTTTGAATGTATTTCACAGAAATTTCTATTTTTAGTAACCATGGCAGCACTGTTCACCGATATTAAAAACCAATATACAGAATAATGTATCTTAGTGTAGTCTACTTGTGTGCCATGTTATATTGAAATCAGACCAAAACTGTAGGAAGAGTAGCATTTTGAAAGTACTTCACAGAAATTTCTATTTTTAGTAACCATGGTAACACCGTTCATTGAAATCAAAAACCGATATACAGAATCATGTATCTTAGTGTAGTCTACTTGTGTGCCAAGTTATATTGAAATCAGACCAAAACTGTAGGAGGAGTAGCATTTTGAATGTATTTCACAGAAATTTCTATTTTTAGTAACCATGGCAACAACGTTCATCGAAATCAAAAACCGATACAAAGAATAATGTATCTTAGTGTAGTATACTTTTGTGCCAAGTTATACTGAAATCAGACCAAGACTGTAGGAAGAGTAGCATTTTAAAACATAGGTAATCAAAGATTACGAAGCTCACCTCGACGAATGTTATCTTTAAGCAAGGCAAATTTCACATATTTTTTTTTATTTAGTGTACATCCCAAGATCAATGTCCATGCAAGTTTGGTTTAAGTACGACTTATAGTTACTTGGAAATAGACCTCTTCAAAAAACGTTTATCCTGTTTACTAATCAAGAAAATTTTGTTCAGTTCCAACATCCAAAGTAAGTCTGGAAGTTTTCATCCTTAGATGCACCATCTATGCAAGTTTAATCATAACAGGCCATAATGTTATATAGCTACTCCAAACTAGAACTGTCCAAAAGGGACAAATACCCCCCCCCCCCCCCCCCCCCCGGGTTTTTCAGAGGTGCCAAATCACTAATATTTTATGGATCTAAGAGGTGTTCACATGCAATTTTCTGACAAACATTTAGAGTGAAAAAATAATTGCTCATTATATTTTTTTTTAATGAATGAAAACAAGGAACAACCTAATAAAACATCAATACCAATACATTGTAATTTCATTGTTTTTTTTAATACATTGAAAAAATAAATTGCAACCATCTGTCATCTTTTTGAGACATGACACTCTGCAAATTGATCGTTGAAAAAAAAAATCAATTAATTACAAAATCAAATTAATCTTGATAACTTTATATCAAATTCATTTTAAAAATGAAAGGCTGGTCATCCAGTAACTATGTACTATGACAGACAATAAATTACAACAAAGAGAATTAAAGAACAGAGATCTTTAAATTCCCAGGAGATATAGATAACACCTGCTTGATCAGAGATGCTCTAACAGCTTCCCACACTGAACTCATTAATTTTTCTTTAACTGGATGATGTCCACTCATTACTCCCAAGGGACAAACGGATTTACACTATCTGATGTGTAATGTAAAAATTGTTTTTAATACTTGGTGATTTTTTTTTGTTTTAAGGAATAGTTTTAAGCTGTAGTTCACATTTTTTGTACAGATGTTCTAGATTCTATGTCTCAAACCTTAGAAATAAACCCAAAATGACTAAGTCAATAAAAATGAAAAAAAAAAAAAAAAAACCCTGTAAAATGCAGAAAAATTATCAAATAATGTTGAAAATATCAGGTGTACATCTTCATATGGTAAATAATGAGTGTACGAATTTTCATACAATTCTATGAAATAGCCTTTGAGAAAAGGTCAGGACAAAATCACATAATAAAAATGAAAAAAAAAAATGCAGAAAAATTATTCAATCATGATGAAAATAACAGGTGCACACCTTCATATGGTGAATAATAAGTGTACAAATTTTCAGACAAATCTATGCAATAGTTTCCGAGAAACGCTCTGGACAAAATCTCGTCTACAGACAGACGGACAGACAGGCGGACATGGTGATTCCAATATACCCCCCCTAAACTTCGTTTGCGGGGGGTATAAAAAATTATCCTGGTCACTCATCTGGAAAATGCAGGTCAGATTCAGAATCCAAAGCAAGTCTGGAAGTGACCATCCCTAGCTACATCATCCATGCTAATTTGGTTAAAATATAGCTAAAATTCACTCGTGGAAAATCTAGGTCGAATCCAGCATCCGAAGCAAGTGTGGTAGTGTCCATCCCTAGATGCATCATCCATGCAAGTTTGTTCAAGGTAGAGCTTATAGTTACTTCGGAATGGACCTGCTCCAAAAACTTTAACCTGGTCACTCATCCGGAAAATCTAGGTCAGATCCAGCATCCGAAGCAAGTGTGGTAGTGTCCATCCCTAGATCGATCATCCATGCAAGTTTGGTCCAGGTAGGGCTTATAATTACTTGGGAATGGACCTGCTCCAAAAACTTTAACCTAGTCACTCAACTGGAAAATCTAGGTCTGATCCAGCATCTGAAGCAAGTGTGGTAGTATCCATCCCTAGATCCATCATCCATGCAAGTTTGGTCCAGGTAGGGCTAACAGTTACTTGGGAATGGACCTGCTCCAAAAACTTTAACCTGGTCACTCATCTGGAAAATCTAGGTCAGATCCAGCATCCGAAGCAAGTGTGGTAGTGTCCATCCCTAGATCCATCATCCATGCAAGTTTGGTCCAGGTAGGGTTTATAGTTACTTGGGAATGGACCTGCTCCAAAAACTTTAACCTGGTCACTCACTGGAAAATCTAGGTCAGATCCAGCATCCGAAGCAAGTGTGGTAGTGTCCATCCCTAAATCCATCATCCATGCAAGTTTGGTCCAGGTAGGGCTTATAGTTACTTGGGAATGGACTTGCTCCTAAAACTTTAACTGGGACGCCGACGCTGGGGGTATAGCATAAGCTCATCTCGACTTCGTCGAGGTGAGCTTAAAGTTGTTTACAGACAGACAGACAGCTAGACAGACAGATGGACGGACGACGGACAACTTACTATTGCATAAGCTCTTCTGGTCTCTGACCAGTAGAGCTAAAAATCGGCATTAGAGATGGAGTAACTTTGCACATCTACCAAAAGTTAAAGAATGAAAGAGAAAATTTCATAATATACATTTATTGACTTGGTTCAAGGGCAAAATGCATTTTGCCGGACCCAAGAACCAAACTGTTTGCCTGAAGTTTGGTTCAAGGGGTTGGCAAAATGCATTTTGCCTGAGAACACAGTCAATCTTTTATTATACCTTTACTTTTTTGACATATCAGCAGCCGATTTCCATAATGTAAATTTCGTTTACCCGCACTGCAGTTTAAACTGCCCATTGTGTGAAGACATCAATTTTTTTGGACCGCTCAGTACATTGAAAATGTTAAGACTTTTTTTCAGTATAGACTTGTATAGGAATTTTTAAAGGTATAACAAGATCTGCTATTGACATAGTGTCATATACCACAGACTAAAACATCAAAATCATTTCTACCTTTTGGAATCCACTTCCACTCTCTGCAAACTTCATACTCTGTGGTGTAATTCCCATTCAATAGGCAGTGATACTGCTCATTCTGGTCAGTACAGGTTAGACGATTCTGGTAATTAGGTAGTTTGACTATCTCCAGACAAGTGGTGTCCTGTACTTTTCTGTATGGTTGATCAATACAAAACCCTTCATGTAATACCAGAAGTATCCCCCATAATTTTATCCAGATTACCATACTTGTATTTTCACTCTGTGTAAGGGCTTCTTTCTATCACAAAGAAAAAAAATTGAAAGATCAAGGTCTAACACTTAAGATTTCATTTCACAGCAATAATAATAAATTATCTACATGTATTACATAATGTGGTAATATAGCAGGATGATATTAAAGCAGAAAATTGTGTGGTTCTAGCTGATGGATCTTTTTTCTATATTATAGTCATCCTGAGTGTGTCTTCAAAGTTGTATACTATCGCCAGAGAACTAGGAAAAATTGTGTTCTAGCTGGTTCATAAAAAATCTGTCACTATATAATTAATATCTACCCTTTTGGCTGTAATTTTTTCTTGAGTAGAACTTATTTTCAAAGTACCATTAAATCTCTAGAAAGAATTCAGTCCCTATATTACAAATCCTAATGTTGCATGTGTAGTGCATTCATTAATAATGTGCATGCCTAACTTCTAGATTAATTTAGTTGGAAAAAAAAATGTCCAAGTGTAGATCGTTTGACCACCACAAAATAATAGGTATATTTGAAAGAAAATATATTATAATTTGACTTTTTTCTTCTCTCACTGAAATTGCAATTAGGTAGGGTGTCATGATAGTAATACAACATAAAATGATTGAGATTTAACAATATTAATAATGATACTAATTAAAATTCAGCCGATTAAATTTATTAAGGAAATATTCAATGAAAATGAAAACAAAAAAAGTATGCTTTATGTTTGTTTCAAAGATTAATTTATGTGAATACAAATAAAGATTTTAACAGCAAGTTCTAAGATGTCATCAAGGTCAAATATTAACACAGAAATATATATTGATTACACAACAACCAATCAAATACAGTAGACAAAATTCTCTAGTTCTGGAGAAGAAGTCTAGAAAATGAAAAGTTAACAGATAAATGACAGGCACCAGTTGACAGACAGATGCTGGATACTCTTCAATCAGAAAAGTTCAATTGAGCCTTCACCTTTAATGAACTTTTGAGCTCGAATACTGTTCGTTATCTCCATACATTTCATGAGCTAAAAGTGGAACTGCTCCAAAAAATTTAATCTAGCATTCATCTGGAAAAATGTGTGAGATGTGGCACTCATAGTAAGTATATATGCACCATTTATGAGACTACTTTGGTCCAGAAGGGCTTGAAGTTTAGGTCATAATAAAAAAAGAGGCCCATGGGCCACAATGATCACTTGAATATGGAGAGAACTAATATAGGCCATTTTTGCCTGTTGTTCAATTCATGTTCATTGTAAATACATGTACTTCTTTGTATATCATGAATAAAATAATTCTTAAATTAATGATCACCTGAGTAACTTTGACCCTCCTGTTTTATCAGCAGATTATTTTCCCTATATATTCAATGTAAAACTTTAGATCAATAGATGTAGACGAGGCCCATGGGCCCCAATGCTCACATGAGTAACTGTGGCCCCTCTTGTTCATTAGCAGATTCTTTTTCCTGTATGTTCCCATGTAAAATTTGATCACCCACTGTAGTCCCAGCCTATTCTCAGAGGTTACGATTTGAACAAACTTGAATCTACACTATCTAAGGATACTTTTTTATAAATATGACTAATCATGACTTTGCTGTTCTGGAAAAAAAGTTTTAAAGATTTTTTACTATGTAAAACTTTTATTTCCCATTGTGGCCACTCAGGGGTCATGATTTGAACAAACTTGAATATACACCTAACCTGTGGATGCTTCCATATAAATGTGACTGATCATGGCTTTGCTGTTCTTGAGAAGAAGATTTTTAAAGTTTTTTTCCCTATGCATTTGTATGTAAAACTTCAATTGCCCATTATCATTTCACCCTTTCCCTGGGGTCAAGATTTGAGCAAACCTGAACATACACTACCTGTGGATACTTACATTTATTACATTTTCAACAGTGAAATACTGTGATTTATTCATTGAATAAAAGTGATATTCTCTCACAGTGTGAAAGGATATCAAAGTAAGTAAAATATAATTTCTGGCCTGTACCATGACTGAGATAGAAACTAAACCATCTTGACAGAGATTAAAACTGCCAATTTCTCCCCAAATATGTTGCTAAAATCCATGTTACAATGTTTGCAATCTCACAACTGCCAAGCTATGACTTCTCAACTGCTACAACTATGACGCCACATTCTATGACACTCTGTTAAGAAAAGACAGGGGCAAAGGGAAAAATCAAAGAAAATGTAATAAACAGAAAATTCAATGTTTTGTAGTTGGATATGGAATTTATTTCACTCGTGAGACATGATTTTTTGATATTTTTCACTCGTGCTTCACTCTCGTGAAAATATAAAAAATCCTGTCCCACTCGTGAAATAAATTCCATATCCAACTACAAAACATTGAATATCCTCTATATATCCCCTACTATCCAAACTCCATCACCATAAGTGGAAAACACGCCAGGGTACTCTCTGAATTATTTTTGGATATATTTCTTGTTTGCTGCACTTAGTAATGAACTTTAAACATTGTTTTCAGAACTATTTTTAAAATTTCAGTTACTGGGCTTATACAAAACTACTATAAATAGAACGCTTATCATATCCGTGTACATTACGTCCAATGAACCCTAACTCCGTCACCAAGGCCCTCTACAAAATGTCAATGTATTAATTAGAAATTTTTTTCCAATTTAGTTTTTTTCCTCTCTTCATCTTAAAATTGTAAACATAGAAAATTAGTTTTGAAGATTTAAAATATTATTTAATCATATTTTAGGAAAAGTGTCAACAACAGAAAAAATAATGTTAATATAACATATTTCAAATGTAATAATGTTGTGCTACATTTATCTCCAACATGTAGCGTATTAGGGCAAATCGAGATGAAAAATAAAATATTTTTAGCCCTTTTCAATATGGTATGTCATATTAATCCTTTGGCAAAGACCTTCATAAATATGACTGATATGTAAAAATGATGTCGGAGGTATCAATGGAATAGCATATAAAGGAAAAAGTGCTTACTGATTTCACATAAATCATGATAGATACTGACAATAGATTAGAGCTGAAACGAATGTTTGAATATTGGCGAATGAATAGTAAACATGGTAAATGATGAATATTTGAATGGAAATTTAGCATTCGAATATTGGGTCACATGAGTTATACCTCAATGTTTTCTTTGATGATTAAATTATATTGGTACTTTAAAGATAAAAACTTATAGTATCAATAAGGATTTAGTGCTACTTTATCCTTTTAATGATCCAACTGAGCTGTTCACTACCTCTCAGGATTTTATTACTGTTAGAAATGTACCAGAAATATGATTAGAAATCTAAACAAAGAATGTAAATAATTTTTTTCAGTGTAAATCCCTCTGAATATATATATTTGCTCAATTAGATACTTATTTTTTATATGGAGTGTTATTCATGCCTACCAATTTCATCTACGATCCTTTGCATACATCTCCATGCATTTTTCTACCACGGGTGTCACTAAATTAGGCAAATGAGTTTTCTTTTAAAAAGAAATAATCCTAAAAATTAACTACTAGCTGACTTTAATTTTTTTTTTTAAACACGTTTACTTAGAGAATGACCTCTGAAAATGTTAGTAGCATGTTCAGTAATGCATAAATGTGAATATTCTGATAACACAAATGGACTTTCGCACTTTTGACTTTTTCTACAGCATATGTCATTCTTACTATCAAACTGTGACAATTTTTCTGTATTTTCATGCATAGAATTTTATAAATTTTAGCATGTAGTTTCCTATTGTAGTAAATTTACACATTTTCTGACCATATTTTGAGCAAAGTTCTAACCTTGTGTGATAAAATAAGGTCTATACTGTAAAAGGGCAAGATCTGTGCCACCAAAGAAATATCGTCTGTGTGCTTTAAGGAGAAGCTTAAACAATATGCAGTTTAACATCAATTAACTATATTGATATAATTGATATTAAAATATACGCATACGAAATTTCCTATGGTCTGCAAATGGTATAGGTACATGTATAATAACATTTTAGAACGATAAACTTTAACATTGACGAATATTCGAATATGCATAGAAAAGTAGTCCCAAATTTTCAAATACTGATTTTTGGTGTTCGTTTCAGCTCTACAATAGACCATGTATAATAGTTATTATTTTTGACATATTCTTGAACTTGACTGTATTTCTCGGCATTTGATTGTAGATTTTCAGCATGTAAAAAATGAACAGCGCGGAGTTTCCTGAAAGTGTCAGAGTTAGGGTAGTGATGGAGTTAGGGGGTTTGGCGATAAATATGACTGATCATGGCTTTGCTGTTCTTCTTCAGATCTTTTAAAGATTTCTCCTCTGTATTCTATGGAAAACTTTGATCCCCATTGTAGACCCTCCCTAACCCCAGGGGCCATGATTTGAACAATTTAGAATCTACACTACCTCAGGAAGCTTCCATACAAGATTCATCTCTTCTTGCTCAGTTGTTCTTGTGGAGATGTTTTAGATTTTTTGATGACCCCACCCTATTTTTGCCTTTTCTTGCAAGCCCAGTCGCAGGCGCAGATCCAGGAATTTTTTCCAAGGGGGGGGGGGGGGGTCCACTCCAGTCAAAAAAAAAAATTTCCAATCCAGAAATTTCTTGACAAGCAAAAAAAAAAAGAACCAACTCCTTCCTAGACGTATCAATCCCAGAAAATTTTCTGACAAAAAAAAACTATTTTGTGGTGATGGTGGTGGCCTCCACGTTTTCTAGGGGGGTCCAAAGTCATTCCGGAGATCTGCACATGGGTTGCTATCACTGGGTTGTTATAACCACATATTGACTACACTGAAGTCCATTAAGCATGGGGAGAAGCTAACTCGTTTACTCCCTTTGATGGCCGGGGTAACAATGTGACTGTATGTGATAGTATTTAAACTTACTGACATGGAAGCAGTCATCATGAACAGAGAAATCCTGAGCTTGAGGTACGTGTTATGCAAAGAGCTCTTAATTTTCTACTTCAACATTGAGGGAACAACGAGTGAACAATGAACACGCAAAGTTTGAATAGAGCAACAAGCGCAAAGAGAAATTAAGGCAAGCAACAGAATGCATGATTTATTCAAAATTTCTGGTGTGTTTACTTCATATTGTCTAATATGCATTTATGTTTCTTAGAACATATACAAATATTTAAACCCTGATGAAGAATGATTGTGTCTCAAAAAAAAAACCGCCCAGTCTATTTGCAGATTAGATCTAGTTCACAATATTGTTTAGGCTAACAATGTTCAATCATGCAGTTAGATGACTCATTGTAAGAAGTAAACATGGCAAAATCATAAGAAGGTAATTTATCGCAAACGAACCTACCCATTTCATATTCAATAGACTCTATATCATGAAAATTCTGCGATCGCTTATGATTGTCCCGCCAACCTCACGCTCAGGGCTACTTTCGATTTTAAAAAGTTGGAAAACCTGTAGTTTCAGAGTGAGACATGAAACTAAGAAAAGCCGGTATTCGATTTCACTTTGGTACATTTACTTTGTATTTCTTCAGTAATGTCAGCCCCCTTTTCTTAATATTTTTCGATTTATTCAAATTATTGGGGGGGGGGGGGTCGGTTGAATTGATTTAGACTTTTAGTAGTACCCGGGTTTGATTCATAATTTTTTTTATTTTTCTGTTTTTCCGTTTCTCTGTATACACAATCCTATGTCTCTGAATTTCTGCCTTACTGTATCATCAAAAATCAAAAATACTGAACACGCATCCTTTTTTTCCGGATATGTTGCAATGGTTTGCTTTTATACATTCTGAACAAGACTTCCTGTTTGTGTTTTAACTTCTGAATGCACGTGGTGAATATCTTGTGAGTTTTCTAATAATCTGGTAAACTTAAATTCATTAATGGGCAGAAAAAGAGATCCTACACAGGTAGTAAAATCTGGACCTGGCAGAAAAGCTCGAAAACAACAGCCACCCACTTTTAAGGGGCTATTAGAAGGTATATTAAAATTAATTAAGGCAAAAAAAAAATGTGTTCCAGTTTCTACGTTGCTACTTCTACGTTGATACTTGTAAGAGGTCTCCGACCCATCACACAAGTTGTGGTATGACGTCAAACAAGAGGTATTTTTTAAAATAAACTATTTACAGTTGCAGGATAAAAAACAGTATTGACTTGGATGTTTACCTATCTTAATCATTTATTTTAAAGCCTAAAAAAAAATTGTGTGTTTCGGGTAACCCGACCTAACCTATAAAAATGTGCCGATCCTAACATTTTTTTTTCGATGTCCGTATTTATCCGATTAAAATTTCTATTATTTAGATGTAAAATCTGTTTTTATCAGAATATTTCTTTCTCATTCCTAAGAAACGTCTTAAAAACGCTTTGGCTTACAGTGAACATTAACGTAAACGATATTTAAATCAACATGCAAGCGTTTTTGTGATGGGTCTGACAGCATGGAATGGGAAATCTCTTGAATAAAATAATTTTCTGTAATTTAAAAGTTTAGTGATATAGTTGAACTGGTATTGGTGGGTTACGTACCGATTACGTGTTCGACCCGCGTAGTTTTGTACTGCGTATGTATAAGCCAACATGTGTATACAAGCACACAGGTTAATATGAACTAATGTGTTTATAAACACACAGGTGTATGGCAAACACACTTGTGTATGGTAGCTGTCAATAGAGAGTAAAAGGCTTAATAGATATTTGTGTCAATTAGATTGTTTCTGTCATACAAATAGCACAAATAATGAATAAGTACATATAATAAAAATTTTTTTCTATCTTTCTAAAAGATTTTTCTTAAAATCATAGATTTTGATATATGTGTATTGGAATATTTTAGATCGCTTTTTTTCATAGAAGAAAGCCTGTTTGAATGTTTTGGAAAGAACCCACAAACGCAGGGACAAGCTGTAGTGTAAACAATAACTAGATAATTAACATTCACACAATTACAGTCTTCTTTGAAGATCAAAAACCTTAACTGGTAAAAATATAATTGCTTCAAAATTGCAACAACGAATAGTATAAATAAAGATGATATTGTTCTGAATTCAAATGCATATCTGCCAAAGATCTAATTAGTATGAGTATCCCGAGAAAATAATTGTCTTTTATAAATTTGTTTTTTAATTAATGATTATGCGACTCGAACCACTGATTACTATAACTTCAAACCAGAATCTACAGATTGATGAATTCTTCCTCTTGGTTTGTAACACTTTGCTCCTGAAACTATTAGTTGATATGAAAGAAATTTATCAAATATATGAATTTTAATTCTCGAAATTTTAATTTAATATGTCCAGCCGGGCGTCAATACATGCAAATTTGTTCACCTGCTGCAAAATTTGTGCATCTCAGGCGGTCGGGCGCATGGTTATTTCAAACACTGACTTAAGAATATGTGATTTGTGTTAAAATGAAAGTTTTCCCTTGCAGGAGAGAAATTTAATAAAAGAATTTTAAATTATCCATTAACTGTTATCTTTTGGATTCAGAACGAAACCACTCAGGTTGTAAACACAAGGGTCGAACACATATTTGAAACTTAACCACTCGTATTGGCTGAAATGAAGAGAAAATGAAAAATTAAAATGATATGAAACTGTAAAATTTTGTTGTCTGATGTTTTTCAAACATGTCGGAGTGAAATAAAATACAGAATAATATTCTCATGATTTTCTATCTCTGTTGCAGTGGTCATTTCATAAAAAAAAAAAAAAAAAATCCCTCCAAAAAAACTTACCCTAATTTTTTCATCAGTGTTACCCGAAACACACAATTTTTTTTTTAGGCCTAAGAGAGATATTGAATGGTTTTGACTTTAACTTTCATGGAAAAAGGAATTTCAACCTGAAGCTTAGTGTTGTTGGCATGATGTTGGTAGTGTTATTGTTCTTGACCGCTACATTGAATGGATTCAGGTATTGTTCTTGACGGTGCTTGGATTTGTGGAAAAGGAGTGGACACAAAACCAAAGCAACAATGATTCTAAATAATTATGTTTTTATATTAATATTGTGGAGAGCTAGATGATTGACCAATAGTGAAATGATATCATAGAAGTAATATAAAAATCTGATAACATAACTGATCAGAAAGCATAGTATTTTAACCAACCATTGACAGGAACATTATATAAGCAATTGCCAATTTGCAGTCCTATTCTTACAGTCCTAATCGAGCTGTAAACAACATTTCTAGCTCTAAGCAAGTTTTCTTTGAAAAATCTTATTTATTAAAGAAGCCCTCTATAGCCCTATTCTGATGCCCTCTTGAGGTCAAAAATTGCTATTTATGCTGAACACACAGATTTATGATGTCATTTTGGAGCTAATACATAATAAAAATACTAAGTGAGATCATGAAATATGCATACTGCATAGCAAATATTTTCTGCAGTTGTCCAAATTTTTGCGGAAAGGACAAATCCGCAAAAATTACAATCGCAAAATATTTCTTCAATATTACTTCAGATATTTTATGCACCCAAGTCTAATAAGTGGTGCGTATGTCAGTCAACCTGGTTTAATGCAATTTCATAACTGTTGAGTTTACTTCTTACTCTATATTCTAATAAATAAGAATTATGCTTATTGATGTATGAAATAAAAAGGATTAGAAAATAATTTACGCAGACTATAAACTGAAAGATACTTAAGAGCTTAGTATCAGCTTTCATACACATTAAATTTGATCAGCATGTCTTTTAATAATAAATTTAAAAAAAGCAAACATGGCAGTGTTCTGCCAAATTCTTAGAATTTGGTGTTTATATCTCGTAAAAATAAATGCAACCACAGAAATTGAAATCGGAAGTTAATTTGCTACCTGTCAGGGGTCTGATTGCAAAAATTTTCAACCGAAGAAAATACCCGTTTTATGGTATTCACCTGATTTTTTTTATAATTCCATTAAACTAGAAGGTAATATTTTACAAGCTAAATCTCAGAACCTTCAAGTGCCAGTCATAGCATCAGTTGCCATGCTCTTTGAGAGCAGTTAATTGTTCACTCAAGTTGATCAATGGAATATCATTAAGTGTAGTTTTAAATTAGAATTTAGTTGTTACAGTAATGTATAACTGTCTTAATGCAAAGCAAATGGCAGTAATTTCTAGTCTCCTCATACATAACTAAACATGCTCAAGACAAGGAATAAAGTATTTCAATTAGTATAATAAAGTGCCAGTTAAAGTTTTGAGCAAATGCAAGTTTTAAATTTCTGTTTAAAAAATACATTTGATTATTTATTGTTTACTTTATTCCTGGTACAGTGTATTTGATTCTAGTCAATTGTTAAATTTTGTATAGGAGATTTAATTTTGAGTTAGATCGAGAAATAGAAAAGAAAAATAGCTATGGTAAATTAAAACTTTATTTATTTCAGCTTCCATATGCTTGTAAATGTCTTTTATATAATTTACCTTGAATTAGAATAAGGAATCTAATAAATTAAACATTGCCACACAAAAAATGTATATAAAATTCTTCCTTACTTCACAGCTATATTCATTTCATAAAAAATTCTCTGGTTATATTGTTTATTCCATTTGCAGATACAACAGAAACAAAAACATTAAGCAGTAGGCAGAAGAAAAGGTAAGCTGTATATTTGTTGTTGTTTGATTTTTTTTTAATATCACCTGAGTCACTCAGGTGACCCATTGCTACCTGTTTTTCATCATCATCAATCATAAACTTTTGAACATTTTCAGCTTCTTTAGCTTCTAGAACAGCTGGTCCAGTTTCAACAGTGTTCAGTCAATTTTCAGCTCACCTGAGCCGAAGGCTCAAGTGGGCTTTTTTGATCAAAATTTATCCATTGTCTGTTGTCATAAACTTTTCACATTTTCATCTTCTTCTCAAGAACCACTGGGCCAATTTCAACAAAACTTGCCACAAAGTATCCTTGGGTAAAGGGGATTCAAGTTTGTTTAAATGAAGGGCCACACCTTCTTCCAAGGCGAGATAATTATGATTTTGCAAAAAATTAATGGCATCATTTAAAATTCTTCTTCTCAAGAACCACTGTGCTTGAAAGTTATGAAACTTATGTAGAATCATTGTGAGGTACATGTAGTGTAGATTCAAGTTTGTTCAAATCATGACCCCCGGGGTAGGGTGGAGCCACAATTGGGGATCAAAGTTTTGCATAGGAATACATAAGAAAAATCTCTAAAAAATCTTCTCAAGAACAGCAAAGCCATGATTGGTCATATTTATATGGAAGCATCCTCAGGTATTGTAGATTCAAGTTTGTTCAAATCATGACCCAGGGGTAGGGTGGGGCTACAATGGGCGATCAAAGTTTTACATATGAATATATAGGGAAAACCTTTGAAAATCTTCTTCTCAAGAGCAAAGCCATGATTGGTCATATCTATATGGAAGCATCCTGGGGTAGTGTAGGTTCAAATTTATTCAAATCATGACCCCCAGGGGTAGGGTGGGGCCACAATGGGTGATCAAAGTTTTACATAGGAATACATAGGAAAAATCTTTAAAAAATCTTCTTCTCAAGAACATAAAAGCCATGATTGGTCACATTTATATTGAAGCATCCTCGGGTACTGTAGATTCACTTTTGTACAAATTATGACCCCCGGGAGGTAGGGTGGGGCCACAATGGGTGGTCAAATTTTTACATAGGAATACATAGGAAAAAACCTTTTAAAATATCCTTCTCAAGAACAGAAAAGTTGTGATTGATCATATTAATGTGGAAGCATCCTTAGGTAGTGTAGATTCAAGTTTGTTTACATAATGACCCCCAGGGGTAGGGTGGGGCCACAATGGATGATCAAATTTTTACATAGGAATGCATAGGAAAAAAAATCGTTAAAAGTCTTCTTCTCAAGAACAGCAAATCCTTGATTATTAGACATATTTAAATGGAAGCATCCTAGGTAGTGTAGATTCAAGACCCCCGGGGGTAGGGTGGGGCCAAAATAGGCGATAAAAGTTTTACATAGGAAAAATCTTTTAAAATCTTCACAAGAACAACAAAGGCATGATTGGTCATAATAATATAAAATTGTCCTCAGCTGATTTAGATTTAAATTTGTTCAAATCATGACCCCCCAGGAGAATAGATGGGCCATAACAGGGGATTATAGTTATACAAGGGAATATAAAGGATAAATCAATAAAAATTTTCATCTTAAGAACGGCATAACCATTATGTGTCATATAAATTCAAAAGCATCCTTATGAAGTTTAGATTCAAGCTTGTTAAAATCATACACCCCCCAACCCCCAACCCCAACCATTTTTAGCTCACCTGAGCTGAAAGCTCAAGTGAGCTTTTCTGATCACCTGTTGTCCGTCGTCCGTCTGTCTGTTAACTTTTCACATTTTAAACTTCTTCTCAAGAACCACTGGGCCAATTTTAACCAAACTTGGTACAAAGCATCCTTGGGTAAAGGGGAGTTTAAATTGTTAAAATGAAGGGCCAAGTCCCATTCAAAGGGGGAGATTAAATGAAGAAAAGACAAATATTGGGTGGGGTCAATATAAAATCTTCTTCTCAAGAACCACTGGGTCAGGAAAGCTGAAACTTATGTGGAAGCATCTTGGGGTAGTGTAGGTTCTTATTAGCCATTCTCTGTAACCACTTAAACTTTTGTGGCACGCATAGTCACAGATTTTTTTCAAATTTGGCTAGAATTTACCACCTCACAAACTACTCCAAAAAATATTGTTAGATCATATGAATGTTGAGTAGTTACCATGGAAACAGTGTCTAAAGTTGATTTTTTCTGAAAAAATGCAATTTTTGGGAATGTCAATCAATGAAATGCGGCTACTTCAATTCATGTTACTCACAGAAATAAAAAGTATGACATCTGATTTTAAAAGGCATTTAAAAACATTGTTGGTATTCAGTCTATAAATATAAGAAATATATGATTAAAATAGCAGACATTCATTTAAAAATTGAATTATCTCCCTTTGATAATTGTGAGCTCTTTAGTGCGAGAGATAAAAAAATCATTGGACAAAACTGACTGGAAGTTGTTTACATTATCAAAACAAAACTGAACTAGTAGACTAATTGTTCTTGAACAATTAGAGGTCTTTCCACCTTCTTTAAATTTCATATATCCTTCATATTTAACTCTCTACTGTTTATTTTTTTACAAAAGAAACCAGAAATGGCTTGAGAGATGGAAAAAATGAAAATTTTGAAAATTTTGAAATGACCTTGACCTTTGACCTTGACATAAACTTCAAGATCTAAGGTCAAATAATCTAATGCAGTTAGTTTCATGTCTCTACGGCTTATCGTTTTGAAAATTTTTCATTATTTGTAAACTTCAAAAACTTTCAGGGGCAATAACTCATAAAAGGGGTCGACGAATACTTTCGCAATGATACAATGAAGCAAGTACTAAGTTAGTCGAAGACATTGGTGAAGGTTTCATACCTCTATGGTTTACGGTTTCGGAGGAGTAGCGATAACAAGCTTTCTAGCAAAAGGGGCAATAACTGCGAAAGGGGTCATAGGTTATATCCGTTGGGTCAAATTTGTTCATAACTTTTCATGCCCTTTACGATGAACAAAAAATATTTTCGATAAATGTCGAAACAAAAAATCAGCGGAAGAAAAATAATAATAATAAGAATAATAAGAATAACTAGTAGACTAATTGTTCTCGAACAATTAGAGGTCTTTCCACCTTCTTTAAATTTCATATATTCTTCACATCTAACTCTCTACTGCTTATTTTTATACAAAAGAAACCAGAAATGGCTTAAGAGATGGAAAAAATGAAAATTTTAAAAATTTTGAAATGACCTTGACCTTTGACCTTGAACAAATATTCAAGGTCAAAGGTCAAGGGTCACATTGCAATTAACCCCATGCTTCTACGACTTTTAGTTTTAAAGTTATAAGGTTTACTAGTAAGCGCAAAGACGTTAAAGGGCGATAACTCATATAAGGGGTCATCGGACCCTTTCGCACTGAATAGATTGAAGTTGTGTCTAAAGACCCTGAGGACATTAGTGAAGGTTTGATGTCTTTACAGTCTACGGTTTCAGAGGAGTAGCGATAACAAGGTTTTTAATGAAAAGGGCAATAACTTTTAAAGGGGTCAAACTTTGGGGACAAGTATGAAATATTTGAAATAGTTTTAAGAGGACATATTAAAGATGCAAAGATATTTAGTATATGTTGAAAGGCAAAAGAGATATAAAAAGAGCTTAATTTCTCATATTTGGAATGACCTTGACCTTTGACCTTTGATATATTTTAAGGTCAAAGGTCAATGAATCTTATGCAGTTGGTCCCATGTCTCTATGACTTATCGTTTTGAAAATTTTAAATTATTTGTAAACATCAAAAACTTTCAGGGGCAATAACTCATAAAAGGGGTCCACGAATACTTTCGCAATGAAAAGATTGAAGAGTCCCCTCAATTAGTCGAAGACATTGGTGAAGGTTTTGTACCTCTACGGTTTATGGTTTTGAAGGAGTAGCGATAACAAGGTTTTTCGTACTAGGGGCAAGAACTCCGAAAGGGGTCATAGGTCATACTCGTTGGGTAGTTTTTCGAAATAACTTTTGATGTCGAGTATCATGAACTATAAAGTTCTTCGAAAAGTCTTTCGGTTCAAAAGGCGGTAACGGAAAAATAATAATAATTATAACTAGTAGACTAATTGTTCTCGAACAATTAGAGGTCTTTCCACCTTCTTAAAATTTCATATATTCTTCATATTTAACTCTCTACTGTTTATTTTTATACAAGAGAAACCAGAAATTGCTTGAAAAATGGAAAAAATGAAAATTTTAAAAATTTCGAAATGACTTTGACCTTTGACCTTGAAAAAATAGTAAAGGTCAAGGGTCAAGGGTCACATTGCACTTGACCCCATGCTTCTATGACTTTTAGTTTTAAAGTTATAAGGTTTAACAGTAAGCAAAAAGACATTAAAGGGCAATAACTCATATACGGGGTCATCGGATCCTTTCGCACTGAATAGATTGAAGTTGTGTATAAAGACCCTGAAGACATTTGTGAAGGTTTGATGTCTTTACGGTCTACGGTTTTGGAGGAGTAGCGATAACAAGATTTTTAATGAAAAGGGCAATAACTTTTAAAGGGGTCAAACTTTGGGGACAAGTATGAAATATTTGAAATAGTTTTAAGAGGACATATAAAAGATGCAAAGATATATAGTATATGTTGAAAGACAACAAAGATATAAAAAGAGCTTAATTTCTCATTTTTGGAATGACCTTGACCTTTGACCTTTGCATATATTTTAAGGTCAAGGGTCAATTAATCTTATGCAGTTGGTCTCATGTCTCTACGACTTATCGTTTTGAAAATTTTTAATTATTCATAAACATCAAAAACTTTCAGGGGCAATAACTCATAGAAGGGGCCGACGAATACTTTCGCAATGAAAAGATTGAAGAGTCCCCTCAAGTAGTCGAAGACATTGGTGAAGGTTCCGTACCTCTACGGTTTATGGTTTCGAAGGAGTAGCGATAACAAGGTTTTATTGCGAAAGGGGTTGTAACTCCTGAAGGGGTCAAAGTTCATATACACAGGGTCAACTGCAAAAATCTTTTACAAAGTACATTCTTA